TACCCCTCTCTAAATAGTAAATTAATAAATGTTTCTTGCGGGCATATATATGGTATAGTCAGGCTGCATGCTTGCGTTGTATTCATATTTCCTGTGAAATGCAGCTGTTGAATTCTAGCATACTGCTTTTTGGCATATATAGCTTAAGTCAAATATCTCTTGTGCAACAGTAGAATTAAGAAAGAAGAAGGATTTGAAGTTTTCTCTTGGATAGATACTAAACTAACAGTGTCACCCCAGAACCCACCACGTGGACTTTAATAATAATGCAGGCTAGGGGCGGGTTTAATTTCTGAGAATGGAAAACAAAGAAGAAAGACAAAAAGGAAGGAGTCTCTTCAAGTTATCTTAACTATTGGAATAGAACTGGAGTAGATCATAGCTGCCAATTAACGTTTTCTCTTGAAAAATTCGTGGGATTCGTAGAAATTCGGTAATACGTACGCCTCCTAAAAATAATAATTTAGAGAGGAATGTACTTGACTTAATTTGCTCCAACTTCAAGCATGCATACGATTTTCCAGGATATATAATACTGGGGCTATATCATCCATCGTATGTGTGTAATACATAATAAGAGTACGTCTCTAACTACAATTGATTGGTTTCCTCTTCCTTTATACCAAGATTGGGATGAGACTACTTATGTTTCTTATACTTTTTCGGCATGTTGCTTCTTTTCCATGTATCATGAGTCGCCATAAGGTACTTACACCTATATATTGAAGCCTAGCTAATCCACTCCTGTTGCCACATATTACACATGACATATAGCTAAAATAATTATATTATCACCAGCACGGTCTCAGGCTTTAACTTGCATATAATTATTTTATTGCCTTTTGAAAATTTGCAAAGATAAGGTCCAAACTCTACTCTCAGATTAGCTCTATAACTGACGCCAATTTATATTTGTTTTGTCTTATTTTTCCACAGTTCATCTCTTCCCAAGGATTCAGCTGGCCGTGAGAGTGACAAGCCTATACAATCACCTCCCTCGCATACTGGAAGTACCGCTCCACGTTGGTGATGGTGATGGTGATTATAATAATCCTAAGTCCTAACCAGTAAAATAAATAATTAAGGATTATCTTGGGGATAAAAATGATAAAATTGAATTAAGAATATCATTTTGAGAATATAGATATTTTTTGGGAAAAAAATATGAATAATAAAATTTACCAGGTAAAAATTCTACTATACAATTTTACTAAAAAAACTTAAAAATGAGATTATTATTGTAAAAATTAAAAATATGCCAAACAAATCATTTAGAACCAAGAAAATAATTATGGAAATTAATTGGGTCAAACTATAATTCTAATAAAGTTTGGAAAGTAAATTGCAATTATGTAAAATTTGGCCTAAATTCAATTAGGATGCGATAAAATAATTCTTTCAAGAATTTAAGGACATGGAAATTATATTTATTAAAGTGAGATTAAGTGGAAAAAATTAAGTTTTAGTGAGTAAAACCAATAGGATTCATTTTAGGTCAAAAAGTGAAAAATCAACAAAGTGTTAAAGGAAGATCGAATTCTTTTAATTTTCGGTCATTCCCTCTCTTCTTCCTTATAAACCGAAACTCCGTTGAAATGGTAACCAAGCTCTACAACCTTGCCAAATACTCACTTATATGCTTAGATTTCTTTATGAAAATTGTAGCTCTTTGTCTTGTGAGCCTAACCTAAGTCCTAGTTCTCATTGGGTGGCTGTTTTTGGAGAGTTCTCTTCCTTCTTCTCCAGCGATGTGGCACTATTCATAATGCAGAAAATGATCGTTTTCATGGTTTGGCTGTTGGAGAATCATCCTTAGCTTGTGGGGAACTCATTGAAGGCAAGAAACCTTGAATTTGATGGTTGATTTTTTAGATGTAATCTAGGTTTTATTGAGGTGTTTGGGGCTGAATGTTTCTGTCTAAAATCATAGGGTTATGATGTGTTTGTTGATAAATATTAGTTATTTGGTACATTGGAAGTAGAAAGAACTAGTAAATGCTAAAAGGAAAACTTGCGGACTTGATGGAAACTCCAAGAGCAATTCGGTCAAGAAGGGAAAAAGGATGAGGACCAAGTGTTTGAGGAAATGCCTAAGTGAGACATTGATAGTTGTTGGGTATTAAATTGATTGAAATGATTAGATATAAATGTGGAGTTGGAAAAAAATCATAAACCCAATTTCCTTTGCATTTTCGGCCTAGAGGAAATAACTAGGAATGATGATGTTTTGTTATGTTTTAAATGTGTATGGCTATGTCTTGTTAATGGTTATTGGTTGTTGAATTGGTGGATTGAATGCCTAAGCATGTGAAAAGGGTATATGAACCACTTTGAGGCCTATGTATGTCAAAAAGAATCTGATGAACCTAATTCTGAAAAGCAATAATGTATACTTGATAATTGATACACAATGATATGATGTGAACATAGAAAAGCATAAAAATATCTTGGTTTCTTTGTTGATGAGTCTCGGCCTTAGATTCAAAAAGATAGTAGAAATAAGTTTAAATTATTAAATGATCATGTTATGTAATTTGAGGGCCAAGTTAAGGTTGTGTGAACCATTGATTGTTAAGTTGAGAACATAAAAATCCTATGTCTCTAAAGGTTATTGTTGTGTCTTTGGGTTGTTTGAATAATGTCTAGGTCAAATGGACTATATTGAGATTAATGGATGAGCCTATGTGAAAATTGGAGTGTTTGAATCCTATAGGGACCTTTAGGTCACTAATTTGGAAATAACTTGTGAAACAAGTAATCCAAGTAAATAACTTACACGAGGGACTAGTGTTAGTCCTAGGGTATGTCTATTAGACATTGCCTAAGTCGATAAGTGAACTAATGAGCATTGAAAATTGAAAAAGAACATAGTGCCCCCTATGGTGTAGACCTCGGCCTATAGGGCTTTAAATGGGTTGGGAAACTTTGAAAATTGTAATTGTCACCTAGGAGGACTCTTGTACCATTTCTAGGGTAAATATATGTGAGGAAGCATGAAGTTGTTCGTTTATCAAGTAACCACCCCTTGGTAGTCCTATATGAAAGTTTTGAAGGATATTAGTAATGACTTGTGTTTGGAATTTAATTGGCATTTAAACTATGTAATGAATAATTTGAATTGAATTCCTACCCTAGGTCTATATCTAGAGATTTTGAGCTCGTGGGTCAAGCATTGGTGGAGGATTCTTGCTTTCTTGCAAAACAAGTAAGCGGTTGTGTAAGCTTCAAACGATAAGCTCTCTGTTTAAGGAATACTCATCTCTTTGTATGCTCCACCATGGTCAAGTGGGACTATGGTTGGATAATTGTATGATTATATTTCTAATACCTGGTATAGGTGCATTCATAGAGATATGTATGATAAGATGATATGATATGTTTGTGTGGTTCATGGTCATTGATGTGTGCGCGTTGACTAATTCCCTGGAGGATCTAAGCTCCTGGAGGTCACTGCGTACATGACTTGTGATTATTCCACTAGAGGAATTAAGCTCTCGGAGGTCACATATGTCTGATATGATATGATATGCTTTGTGTATGATGTATATGTTATGCTTTGTATTCGACCCTTCGTGCAGGAAGTGGGCTCAGGGACGGGGAATACTCTCTAAACCCTGAGCTTACTGAGATTTGTTATCTCATCCCTTTTGTGGACATGATTTCGGGTGTACCGACCGTGGGACAGCCTTCTCCGGCCAAGGAGGTACTCCAGGGATAGTTGAGCAACGACCCGTCATTAGATTGTCTTACCTTGAGTAGTTGGCCGTATTTTATATGATTATGTTCAGTATTTATTTTGGAGTCATGATGTCTGACCCACATTTTGTATATATATGATTATTTGTCAAGAATTATGTACATCTATTATTCAGGCATGTATATATATGATTATTCAGTTAGATGGTTGTGTTACATAGTATATGATAAGATATGTTGTGGCACGGAGTCAAGCATGCGCCTATGGATGGGTCTTATGTCCTTGTGTGGACTACTTATACATGCATATTCTGTACTGGACTTTTCTGATTGGTAGGAATTGTTTTAATGAGTGGGATTTATTCCCTTGATGGTCCAGTTTATAGAGGAGATGTTGTCTGTTTGACTCCGTCAGGGTGGATACTTGTTATCATGCTCTAATGGACATGGACCATTGCCTATGGTTTAAAGATTGATAAGTTAGGAAAAAGTTTTATGCTATGCAATACACCAAGTGAAAAAAAAGAGGAAAAGTTAATGTTAACAATGAAGTTTTAATTAAGTCTTCCGCTTATAAATGATAAATTATGCTGTGTTTTAGTACCATATATATGTTAACTAATCGGCTCGAGACGGGGACGATACAGTGATGATGAATGTCTATCCACAAACCACAGATGAATCTAGCACGTGCTAGCTACATCTATAATTATAAGTAATTACGAATAGACAAAGTCAGATGAAAGAACATTTGCCTGCTTGGTCCTGATATCTCAGTTTTCCCCTTGTAGTTTGGACCGTCAAATTAGCCTCTAGCTTTTAGTTTCTTGTGCTGGTGTTGGATCGCGCATCATAGTCTAAATGCTTGTGTAAAGGGTCAAAAAGATTGCTCGGATTCCCTGTCTTCCTTTGATATGTAAAAAGATCAAATGAAAGTATGGAAATTTGCTGGGTTTGATAATCTATTTTCATTCCGAATTTGGTGTCACAAATTAAGTTTATACTTTATAGGTGGCCTAAAGAGGATCGAACCTTTAATAATGTTATCATCCCCAGTTCTTACACATTGGGTTTAAGTCTTATACCTTTCAGCTCACCTTTGCATTTATCACACGGTACAAGGCAAGAAATAGTTGACCTTTTCTCCAAAACAAACCACCATGCAAAAATTTCTTTTTTTCTCCTTTATCCACAATTTGAGACAAAACCCTAAGAAAACGCAATGGAGGAAGGGAACAAGAAAGACAAAACGAGCAAGCAAAAAAGTAAAAGGAAAACAAAAATACATTGTAATGTAACGGATATATATCACATTTTATATGGCCAAAATGTCTCTATCATCTAAGGGGGACTATAAGACTCCGGTGATCTCTTTTTCTGGTGCAAGACTCCAAAACTCTTTTTTGTTTCCATTATATCTTGCATAGTTTGGGGTCTACAAGGAAGCAAAAATAAGAAATACTTCTACAGATAAGATGCTTTTTCTTTGCTTTGTGTACCTCACTTCTCTATTGGTGGTTCTTTCCAATTTTCTCAACTTTCATCTCCCCCTTGAATTTCTAAAACAGCAAAACTCCTATAATTTTTTCATGTTATATTGTACATACCATTCCAACTTCTACAAGAGCAGCATGAGGGATTTTAAGAGCCACTGGAGGTTCTCGACAATTTTTTTCACTAAAACGATAGGCCATGATTAAGAATTTCTTGAGGAAGTTAGAGCCATCACGCACCACTAAATGTGATTGGCCCAAGAAATAGGCACTACCACTCTCCCTGGCATCAATTAGCTCTAAGAGCTCCTTCCTGACAGAAGGCTGCATTTTAGGACTATTAGCAGGCAACATGAACCGAACTTTTTTTTTCTTGCTAGGACGACTAGTACTCTCCAAAGTATCACCTACTGGATTAATCTGACATTCATTGTTCACCATGCATGAGTCAAGTTCATCCAGGGGAACTAGAGCATTTCCATCTGGTGCTGAATTTCCAACAACAATCATTCTTTCATCTGGGGGAACCATGGATTCAATGTCACTCTGTTCAATGGAAATGAATTCCCCTATAGAACGAATAATCTGCTCCTCAAAATCACCCGTATCCCTGATATGATCACAATATCCACATCTGACAATGCAACGATAAATTTTATAATCTTTGGGCCCAATCCTACCTATGAGATACCTTTCGCTTTCTGGGATATAAGGCACCGGTATAGACTTGAAGGACACCAAGATCAACACTTGATGAAATGCAGGGAGATTAGTAATAAAATGCGAAAAGAAAGCTGGGATTCCTGCTACTATGTCTGTGTAAATGAAGCCAATTCCAGGTACCCTGGAAATGCCAAGGCCTGGACTAACTTCTATTAGCCAGTCAGTTGACACCTTGTTTTGCAAATCAAATTCGTACTTCTTCATAGTTCCATAATGCCATGAAAGCATGATTGTCATGGACACCGCCAAAAGGACAACTAGATACCAAGCTCCCTTGTGAAATTGTAAAAGACATGCTGAAAGATATGCAGCCTCAAGAAAGCCAAAACACAGAAAAAAGCACGCAGATACAATAAAATTTTTCTCCCAATACAAAGCAATGATTAGTGACATCAGACTAGTTGTCACAAGCATTCCACAAATTATAGCCAAACCTGCCAGACATTGTGAGCTTATATTATAATATTGTCATGAACATGCTAACTGAATATACAGATAATTGCCTTGATCTAGTAATACATATCATTCTTTTATCTGTCTCCCCTGTTTACCAACTCCTCATTTTCTTAAGAATTCTCTTCATGAATTAATGGCTCAAACTGCTATAATCCAATGCAAAAATGGGAGTTCTCAAGGGATTACTCGAAAGTCTACCAGACATGGGGAAAAAAACATAAATAATTCCTGTTGTCTAAGAGAAGAATGAGATGTAATTAACAGTGGCATACCTGTTGCATTGCCAATCTTTACAATGTCTCTGAAACCAACTGTGACAATGAGGCTGAAAATCATCAATAACCAGTTGACATCGGGGATGTAAATCTGCCCATGTATCGTTTTTGATGTGTGAACAACTTTTACTCTGGGAAAGCAATTTAATGCGAGGCACTGGTTAATGATGGAGAAACTCGCTGTTATGGTTGCTTGGCTTCCTACAGCTGAAGAAAGTAGGGATAATACTATGTACACATGTTTGCAATGACCTGTAGTCACCGTGCATCACTTTAGCAAAGTGAATTTGCAGGAAGAAAAATATCTACGAAATTAAGGCACTCGACCCAACTTACGTGGCATAGATTCACTAAGATGATTAAAATATTGAGCGTGCATATTTTGGGAGATATATGCAGCCTGACCAGCATAGCATAAAATAAGAAGCGGATAAATCAAGCATATAAATGTAATCTACAACAGACACATGATGCACAAGTTAGTAATGATTTCAATTACAATCAATACATTTTAATTACAGAACAAGTTATGCATTATACCTTAATTGATTTCTTGGAGAAATGGCCCAGGTCTGCAAACATTGCCTCTGATCCTGCAAAACGTAGAGCATCTTATGACATTAACCAAAACAATTTTAACAAGACAAAAATTCGCTTAGTTATGAATATTAATTACTTGGTGATAATTTCATAATTCTGAAGCTCTTTTTTGAAAAAAAAAAAAAAAAACCCACCCGCTACACATAAAATGACGCTCCCTAACAACCTCCATCTGCCAATGTTAATACTTGTGATGAATTTGAACATGTACACTGGGGATATTTTATTGATAATTTTTACATCCCAGTAGAAAACATTATACGTTCCCACCACACCAACAAACAACAGCCAAACAGCAATGATTGGAGCAAACATGAACCCAATTTTGCGTGTCCCGAAGTGCTGCAGCATGAACAGGCCAACCAATATAACACACGCAGTGGGAACAGGTACATCTGAAATATTGAAAAGCATTTCGGGTAGGATAACTGCAGGAGATAGCAATATATCTATTTTTTGGTTTACTTCATTAAAAAAATAAAAAAGATCTATTTGTCTCGTGTACAGACAAAGATAAGATAGTGGAGTCTACTATTTAAAAAATAAAATAAAATAGTAGACTCCATTACTTTGTGCAATACGAGATAATTATTTCCCAAAAATAAAACAATAATCAAGCGGAACTTCAACTTGCAAGTAATATACAACAAACTTGGAAAAAGTTTATCCCCATGGCAGATGCTTTCGTCTAAAATATCAGATATACAACAAATTAATAAAAATCAAACATCATTTGACATTCTTCATTCAGTAATCGCTCGGAAAGATATATCTGGGTCAAGTTAATTCCAACTCTAAACTGGAAACTTAAAATAGCATGAACTTGACATTTCTGGAAATCCATCAAATATAAATTGACTAACCACCAGTGTCAATTATAGAGATGCTAAATAGACTATGTTAAATACAGTTATATAAATTTAATATTAACCAATTTAAGAATGGGGAAAAGAAGAAAAAACGATGTGTCTATGGATACAAGATGATCCTGAACTAGGATGTACGGTGCTAAATCGCAAGTGAGAGTGAGCAGCCACAATAGGTTACCAGGAGCTATAATTTTTTATCCAAACATACCAATCACTTGACGCAACATAAAAGGGACGTTTGAAAGAACTTTATGAATCGAAAGCATTTATAGTACTTACATCTTTTGAGGGCCTCTGACACGGACTCCTGAGTATGTTGCGACTTGGAAACTGATTATAGACAACAAGGTAATCAAAAACATGTAGTATCAATTGATGATATGGCCTCTGAAAAAATTATGAATTCAATTTGTTGTCTCAGTACAAGCTCTTACACATGCGCGGCACCATATCTGACAAGGATCTCTGAACACCAGCTGAAGCTGATAACACTGGTAAGCAGCCAGAATATATATAAAGAAGTTATTGAAGATGAATCATTTAATCATCATAAGAGGAAAAATAATTACTAAATCTTACACATCACATCACATGCAATTACTTGTAAGAAAACTAAAATTGAAATCGGACTTGTGTACCTGAGAGTGCTGGAGTGAGCACTGCGTCACCAATTGTCATACAGGAACCAAAGAGGGCCAAGAACAATATTAGATAGTGACCGATCTTGTGTTTCTCAATGGCCCTTCGTGCTCTTGAATCAGTATTGATCTTAGAAGGACTTGTCTCCTCATAAAGCATAACTTCGTTGGTGCTTCTATCACATGGAAACAGGCCAACTTTTGCATTTCTACATAACAGCGAGTATAAAGCAAAAGTACCACCTAGAAAATTTTTCTATGAGAAGTTAATCTTAAAAGGCTTGATTACTTCAAAATTTATATGTAGTGATATGATAGGCGTTAACTGAATATAATAATTACCTTCTCCATTATCATCAGCTTTCAGCACTATAAAGGCATACTTGAGCAAAGAAATTATTGTCAGGGTCCAGAAAATGAAGGAGAAGATTTCATAAACCTCCTCCTGTGATGCAAGATCTTCCACGCGCATCGTCCCAAATACATATAAGGGTGCAGTGCTCAGTTGACCATAGACTATTCCAACAATTTGAAATGACAGAAGAACTGTTTGCTTCCATGTTTTCTTCTGAATAATAAGGGACACAGAGGAGAAAAATAAAAACAAAACAAAATACTAGATCCTTTTAACATCCATATCAAGAATCAACTGAAACTTCAAATAAAAACAGCAACAAGTTAAGTTCATTTTGCAGACGACAGATTAACAGTGAGGCACAAAATAAGCTAAATTCGATGGACACTAGTATTTCAAAATGAATACAACAGTGTTTGACCGTGCAAGAATTTCAGAAAAGCAATTAATGTTACCTTAACCTCATCATCATGATGCAGTGGAGAATTCATTAGGAGTCAGATCAAATTGTTAAGTCTGAGTGAAAAACAAAGTTATGAGAAAAAAGAAAATGAAGGAGCAGCGATTTAGGCAATGCTTGAGAGGATAGAGACGGAGCACACAAAGAAGATAACCTCTGTACTGTAGACCCTACAAAGTGTCAAAAATAGAAAGAAAGAAAAAAAGAGAGAGTAAAAGATCTCATCACATAGTGATCTTCACGTATGGTATGGTATCACATCTGTTCTGTAGACGGCTTATTATTGATCTCGTGATATGGTTCATTCCAATACACATCCAACGCTCTTTTTTTTTTTCTTTTTTTTAATTTTAATTTTTGCAGTATTTTATTATTTCATTTCAGGTAGTAGGGAGGGAATGCCGGAGTGATATTGACACCCAGATTTTCTCATACACAAACAGAGACAGAGAGAGTGCAAGTTCTACTTTCGGTCCACGCATTTAATATATCAAAATAAAAAAAATAGTCAAATAATATACACAAAACCACTCTGTGCGGAAGTGGTTTGGTTTGGTATCCGATATTGGATTTTATTTTAAAATTTGCGTGTATAAAAAAAACATATCATTAAAAAAATTAATACATTTTATTGTATTTTAAAAGCATTATGTGAAAAAGAACTTAGACTTGGGTTTAACAAAAAGTCATTTTATGATATCGAGATTTATGTATTATTAAAAAAATGTGCCATGCCTCATCATATTTTACGAGATTAATCACTTACTGGGAAAAATATACGGTGGTAAACGAAACAAAAAATACTTAAGAGAAATGTTTTTACAATATAATTTTGGGATTTATTATATTGTAAGAGATAATATATGCATAATACATAAAAGACGTGTGAGGTTCATATATATATATATATATATATATATATATTTGTCTCTTCTTCTCAAATGACCCTATATGACTCTCACATATTTTTATATGTGTTGAAGATAAAATTATTTATGATAAACATCAATTCTTATAATTTTTTAATGTCTTTTTTAGTTTGTGAAAAATAAAATATATTTTATGATTTTACAATGTACGCTGACAGTTCGCACGGGGATGCATTTGCACCAATCATAGCACCTTATAATAGCTTCTTTATTGTTTCTGTCAATCTTTCTTCTTCTTAATTACCAATTAAATGATTGACAATTCATATCACATGGTTTCCATACAAAAGATACAGAACTTCTTTCCTGTCTATTTTTGATAAAAAAAAAAAAAAAACTAACTGTTCTATGCATGTGGTGGGAACGACAGAAAATATAAACAATTAATGAACATGTGCTGCCTGTGGCTACCGCCAAAAAAATATGGAACGCCTGTAGGTTCTGAAACGGAAGCATTCTGTATAATTATTATAGTAACGTCAAAACTTAAAAGGTGTATATTTAATGATCTTGTACAAATTTAAAGATAAATATTTAATATTCCAAAGGCTATAAATTTTTTGTGAAAAAAAAAACCCAGCAAATATAAGAAAGGCATCCACTGAAAACTTGGCTACGGTAAAGGAAATTGAAATTGGCGATTTCTTGAGGGAATGTAAAAATATATAATTAAAATTTAAATCTTAATATCACTTTACGTTAAATATAAATAATCAAATTGTTTGATAACCATAATTTTCATATAATAATTAATAATATTGTTTAATAACCACCAAAATTCCTAAGATAATTCCTCTATCAGTATGAAAAATAACCTCAGAATACACCCACCCCCTCCAAAACAGAGAGAGAGAGAGAGAGTTGGGAGATCATACAATATCCGTCTCATTTGCAACAAAATAAAATGTAACATTAAAGAGGAAAGAAAAAAGTGTTCAGTTCTTGTCCATTCATTACTCATTCATAAGCCTTCTCCCAATCATCTACTACATCAGAAACTTCTGATGCAACAAAGTCTCCTCCATCCTGCCCTTCTAGATTTGAACCACTATCACGAGGCTCCAACATTTCGACGACACTACTTTCAAAGCGTTTAGTAGAAGCTTCAATTTTAACGGCTTCAACAGATGAACTCGAAGACAATTCTTGATCTAAGACACTCCAAGGATTTAATGAAGCGGGTATTGGGTCTTCTTTCTTCCTAATAGACGACGAATCGACATAAGCAAAACCAGGAGCCCACTCCTCATCACCCCAAGAATCTTCTCTCCAACCTGGCTCTCGAACAACACCCTTTTTCCACGGATTACCATTTAATACTGCCACTGCTCCTCCTTCTTTCATTATCCCAGCTCCTCCCCAAGCATTGGTAGCTGAAGATGCCACAGATGCCCCTCCATTAGGAACAAGCACAACAGCTCCCTGATAAACAGTTCCATGATCCAACCTTCTTGTTGCAGCTGCAGCTCGCGCAGGATCATTAAAAACAGCCAATGCATTTTTGTCATTTAACCAAACAAGTTCACACTCACCCCCAAATCTCAACACCAATGCACTAATATCTGCATCCCTTGGCAAATCTGAAAAGGAGACAACAAGCCGAGGGTCCATATCTACCAAAGGATCAAATGCAGGAGGAAGGGGAACATGCACAGTTGTAGTACCCTTAACTCCTAGCACACGAGCAGGGGCTCTTGATTTTGAGGTAACATGAACAACTATAAAATGCTTTGGCTCCCAACCAGCTGCGTTCACTGCAAGCTTCCATCTCTCAGCAATCACCCTCACTGCATCTCTCTTATCCTTTAGCATAGGACAGAAAACATGGACTTTTAGACCATGTGTAGTTCCTCTACTCTTGCCCAGCACTAAACATTTGCATCTCTCCTCAACAGATAAAACCCATTTAGGATCACGTCTTAACAGATCAGCAAGAAATTCAGAAGCAATAGAATTATCACCAAAATGGAGAGAATCCAGATTTGGAGGGGTAATCTCAAAAGCATCTGCAAGAATCCTTTTTCGCTCCAACTGAGCACACTCATCATTACACATCAGCTTTCTTTGTCCAAGGGGAATTTTTTTGACATTTGCATCCACTGATTGAAGCAGCACTGGCAACTTCTGAATATTGGAAGCTTCATGTATGGTATCAGCGTTATAATTAACACCACAAGGAACGTTAGCTGTTATTCTGCCACAAGAACAAGCAATTGTAACAGGGAATTCACATAGTATGTCTGGACATGGAGATGAAGGGTGACAAGGAGCTGTACATGTATGTCGGCAGTCTCTTTTTGGAGCACCACATGTTTGCCCACAAGAAGCTCGGAAACCATGCACAACATATGGATTATCACAAGGTGGGGGGTGACATGTTCTGCCACAAGCATGTAAACCACATTGTCTGGTCTTCCCACAGAGATTATTACATCTACTATGTTTTGAACCACAAGGTATGTTCCTAAGAACAACATGCCCACCAATACATTCTTTTGCTACAAGCACTGAACAAGGAGTGCAATCTCCAGAATGGCAGCTGTGGGAGGCTGGATGACCACAAGGTTGAGGAACTGAACATGGAAGCTGACATGAGGGAAGCGGTGTACCACAAGGCTGTGGAGGAGGGATTGAAGTCCTGCCACAAGCACATGTCAAATCAGTGAATATAGTTTCAAGACAAGGTGGACAATGACCACTATGACACGTGGATTCACAGCCATGCTGCCCGCACCTTAACTTCTTTCCACATGGCATGGAACAAAAGTGTGGATCCCAATCTGCATTTAGATTATTATTCGGATTAGAAAGTGGACAACAACGTTCACTACATCGATGCCTTCCACAATTCTTTTTATGCCCACAAGGCTTTTCACAAGTAAATTTCTCATTCTCCATCATTGCCTTGTAGCACTCCACAGTTCGGGAAGTTGAACCACATCGACACTTATGGGAGACTAGAACCAAACAAGGAGAACAATCCCCAGCATGGCATGCCTCTTCGCAATGATGCATGCCGCATGGAAGGGACTTACCACATACGTGTGAACAGGTAGGTATTGAGTCTAAACAACTCTGCCGTTCCTCCTCCAATCTAGTTTTCCCACAAAAGCATGTCTTAATCCGGCTTGGTAACAATTCACACTCCCCACAGCTGCCTGGATGACAAGTCTGAATACAGATATGATTACCACAACCAAGTTTCTTTCCACAATTGGAATCACAAGAAAAAACTCCACCTTCTGCTTTGATTTCACCCTTCACAGCCATGTCCCCACAAAGAATAACCTCCATCTTTTTACTGCAAAAGCAAGAGGCATTGATTGGAACCTGACAAGGATCACAAGGACCCAGATGACAGATTCGCTCACAACGATGACGGCCACATTCAAGAAGCTTTTCACAGTGCTGGCCACAAGTAATAACAGACTGGCGGTCAGAGCAACGAGTGGTAATATTTTTCTTCCCACAAGGACACAAACGTGGTGGGGCAAATGCTTTGCATGGAGGGCATGGACCCGGATGGCATTGCAAGACACAAACATGAGGGCAAAGATCATCCTTATTCCCTCCAGTAACCAAGAGCTCCTTCTCAAGAGGCTTTCCACATGGTTCTCCACAGGAATGTGGCGTGAGATACAAATCAGATGGTGGGTCTGGCCTCTTTCCACAGAAGCAAAGATACCTAGTCTCCTTGGATGATATGAGCTGCACAGACTGACAACCAGGGCACCGCCAATTAAACCCTTGATTCTTCTGTGCAGACAAATCATTGGAAACGGGTGCCCGAGACCACTTCTTTATGCAATTAAGGTGAAAGATAGAGTAGCAACTGGAGCAAGACCATATAGGTGCAGACCTCCGGACGGTGTCATAGCAAATCATGCATTCAACAACGCCTTTCATGAGCTTGTCCTGAATCTCTTGCAGCAGCTGAGGCAAGTCATGGTCTTTCAAATTCAATCCCTTCCCCACATGATTCATGGGAATAGGACGACTCATGTAACTCCTTCTATGCCGACTCGTTGGATTAGAGCTACCAGCATCACCATCCTTATATAACTGCCGGCCGGCATTGGTGGTGGAGACGGCGGTGGCTGTGGCTCTAGGAACCCATTCCTGACGAGGAACTTTGGACCTATCCTTCCGTTGGTCTAGCTCTTGTAAGCTCATCCTGCGTGGTGTGGTGTGATGTGATGTGATATGATGTCTCCCACACACTGTGAATGAAATGCCAAACCCTCAAATTGATTGTTCTCTCACTGACACATAAAAATTCAATTCAAAATATCAATAATAAGAATTGAAGATTGAAAAGGGAAATGTTAAGCAAATACACTCTCAAAACAACAAATTAATAATCGTATTCATAAACCATCCCTAAAAGTCAAAGAGACATACGCATAACATATATAATCTTCAATCAATTAACAGGTATCAACTTTCAAAACGAAATTTCCTCCGCAACCAAACACCAAATAAACGGACAATTATCTATAAGCAAACGTTTATCTCTCGAATTTATGAAGGAAGAAACTAAAAACAAATAAAAGAAATAGAATTGAGAGAAGAGAAATAAGGTGAAACCTGATTGGGAGGAACAAAACGAAAGTTATTGTGGTTGTGTATCTGAGTCCGAAACTTGGGGAATGAAATCGGGTCCGACCCGGAATCGGAAGCGGGTGAGGAAGAGAAGCGAAAGGAGAAGTGTTTATATACATTATCATATGATATGGTATTATGGTCATTTCTCATTGACTGCTTACAGCGCGCCAGCAGCCTACTTGGTCCTCAAGCAAAACATGTATGCGTGCTCCTCACTCCTTTTTTTTATTCTTTTTTCTTTTTTGTTATTATTTCATTTCTAACCGACTACATATGATATTCTCAACTTTTTAATTATCAAAAGAGAAAAGAAAACTCTAAAAAGATAATTTTTAAATATACCCACTTGCTCAAAATATAATATCAAACTGCCTGTTATCTAAGAGCTTTTTATGTAATTGAAATAGACATCATATCGCATATACAATGATCCTGAATCTTATAATAAATCCGTAATTATAACTAATAATTAATGTTGCATATATTTTTTTTTGGAAGGATATACTTACCACCAAAACAATTTATCATTTTTACAACCAACTTAATCACCGTTGATTTTCGTCAATCTAACGGTTATAATTTATTGGAAATTATTGGTTCGCATTAATTAATTATTAATTTCCAATAAATTATAACCGTTAGATTGACGAAAAATTAACGGTGATTAGATTGGTTGTAAAGATGATAAATTTTTTTATTGATAAATATATCATGCTCTATATTTTTTATAGACCACGTCGACTGGTGGTTTAATTTTCGATTAAATCATTTTGACTGGCCGACAATAGGGTTAAAGGAGATATACGTAAAGATGAAAGTGTAACTGAATTCATCCAAATCTATATAACAAGTCAAGGGAAAAAAACCTAATACTTGTGATTAAGAAAACAAATTAGAATATAATGTTATTTTCAAATATTTTAGATAATTAATGCAACAGTTTTATATACATCTAATAAGCAATTAGTTGTGCATGTGAAAAATGTGCAACTAACACATAGTAAGTTTTCGTAAGTTGCCTACATATTTAGTGTGTAACTATGTACATAGACAACTCACGTAAGCTTGTCACGTGACATTAAGAGTCAAAGTCAACTTATGTTATATAAATGGATGCACATGTTTTTATTGAAACGAACTAGTTAAAATTAATTCGGTTCTTAGTGAAATTAGTTTTATTATTCTCAAATTAGTTCATAGTTCAAAGTCAGATTATGTTATATAAATGGATTCACATCAGTTTAAAAAGAGTTCAAGTACACATACAAAAATGGTCATAATTTTTGAGTTCTCTCTTCCCTTTTCCTATTTTTTAATTCTCTAAAAGGTCATAATCTTTTTTTTTTGTTCCTATAAAAATAAGTTCAAATTCATAATCAATATGTGGAAGTTGCCAAGTTGAGAATTTATCATTACCAATATGGTCACTGACTCACTGGTTTGCAATAGTAAACCTTATATTGCATCGTTTATATCTCCTGCAATTGACACACAGAGATGACCATATGCTACTTAGCAAGTTCATGTAATTAAGTTGCGCACTAACTAATTACATATGTGGTGTATGTGCAACTCACGAGTTTATTACGTAACCAGATAATTTTTTTTTTAATATCAATTATTAGGTTTTTTGCTAGCAAGTCAATCCTTTTAAAAAATGAATTAAAAATAACATTTGTTATTTTATTTTTTATCAATTTTTAATCATAAAAATTAAATTAAAATAAGATAATATTTTTATAATTATTAATAGACCTAATTTTATAAGTTTTAATAAAAAAATATTAAAGATAAATCTAAACATGTCATTATCATTTTATTAGGGACGCTTAGCTAAACATCCTCTTGTTGAATAAATCCGACCTTGTCCACATCACATGCCACTTATGATTGAATCATGGGGGTTACTTATGCTTTGGTAGATTACATTTTTAAAATCGAGTTGTCGTTGTTATTATTATTAGGGTTATATTTGTCTCATATTATATGAGAGAAATTAATTTTTTACACACACAAAAAAGATGTGGGTTTCATCTCTACTTTTTTCTCTCTCCTCTTACCTGTGGGTCTTATTTGTAATTTTATTTCTACTACATGAGAATTTTTTTTTTCTAAAACATAAAAAATCCATTTCCGTTATTATTATAACAATAATAATAATAATAATAAAAGGGGAGTTATATTTTCGTCACAATATAATACAACTCATTTAACAGTCTACCTACTACCTCTTCGAAAACACAATAAATCTATTGCAAAAAATATATATAAAAAGCAGAAAGTGTGTGTCATTTTAAAAGATATAAAATTGTGTCATTTTAAGATAGAGAAAGAGATAGATAAAAGAGGAGAGAGAGTTAACAGAAAAAATAAAGGTGTGGGTCCCACCTCTTTGTGAGAGTGAAATGATATAAGTTGTGTCATTTAAAATAATAAATATTTTTCCCATATAAAAATAGGGGTTTGCATTTGTCATTTAACATGACACAATAAATTTTCCTACACACAATATTTGGTGGGGCCCACACTTTTTGAAGAAAAAAGAAAAAAAGAAAATTATGACACACAAAACGAATCTCTATAACATTACTACAATCATTTCTCCTGTCACATAACTCTTATAAAAGTCATAAAAATAACAAAATAAAGAAAATATTTCAATTTTCAAAATTGTAGGCTAAAGTCATATAAGTATATAACTCATAAGTCTCCAAACACGTACTGAACTGGCATACCGTGACGTCACTGGAAGCGTCACACTTACAAAGAAAAGGAACAGACCAAACAGCAGTGCTCAGGTTTCCTTCTCAGCTCAGTTTGGCAACTTCAGTTACCATTCAATTCAAGCACTCGAACTCGATCATGTCTTTGCTTTCAGATCTTATCAACCTCAACATTTCTCAAACCACCGCTGATAAGCTCATCGCTGAGTACATATGGTCAGCTTTCTTATTACTCAACCTCTTATCTTTCTCAGTCTTCTTCAGAAACCGCGATTTCTGGGTGCATGTCATGGTTGTTGTTCTTGTATACTAAAAAAACATCTTTGACAACTTTTTTTTTCCTCGCAAATGTGATATCTTTGTTGAAATATTCTTCTCTCTAATTCTGGGTATACTTAAATGGTAGCGATTCTTTTACAAGTTGCATGTTGTTCCATCCTCTTCCTTCCCATTTTAGTAAAATGGCTTCTTGGTCGATCAACCACATAAGATGTCTACAACCTCTATTCATTCTTAGTTTGATCTGAATAAGCAAAGGAAAATTATTAATGTTTTGTATACTGATAAACAGGATCGGTGGATCTGGGATGGACCTAAGAAGCAAAGCCAGGGTAATTTTTCTTTACCAAAAGTAGTAATAATGGTGTAAACGTTTTCAAGTTCACTATCTTAACCTTTTCTTTTCTTTTTTCAAAATTTCCTCTCTCATTTGAACATGCAGACTATTTCTGGTCCAGTAAGTGACCCAGCAAAACTTCCCAAGTGGAACTTTGATGGGTCTAGCACAGGGCAAGCTCCAGGGGAAGACACTGAAGTCATCCTATAGTATGATGCCCTTCTTGCTCCTGTTTGTTTTCTTAATTCTACAAATAAACTGATAGCTGGAGTTTCCTTTTTGTTTGGCGCATTATGAAAAAATTAAAAAACCAAAAGCCCACAAGCTATTTTCAGGGACCCATTTAGGAGAGGCAGAAATATTCTTGTAAGTTTTTTCATTTTTAATAACTGGCTTCTTCTAATTAAGCAAGCATTTATTAATGAGTCATCAAAATCCACTTTTGTGGTTCAGCAATTCACTTTATAGTAAAAATCTATAGGTGATATGCGATACTTACACCCCTGCTGGAGAGCCAATTCCAACCAACAATAGGTACAACGCAGCCAAAGTTTTCAGCCACCCTGACGTAGTTGCTGAGGAACCATGGTATGCTGAATTTCTGGTTTCCTGCTTTGGTTTTTTTTAACCTTTCCCCATACGCTTCCAAATTTTTTTAAAACCATGGTAGTTGTCAATTTTTACCTGGTGATGTACACGCCAATTTATCATAAAATAATCAGATTTGCTCTGTGCTGATTTGTATTGCCAGGTTCGGAATAGAGCAGGAGTATACCTTGTTGCAGAAAGACATAAATTGGCCACTTGGGTGGCCACTTGGTGGCTATCCTGGACAACAGGTCTGAAATTTTCCATTCCATATATTATTTTTTTCTCCCCTTTCATTGTGCTCTCTTGTGTATTTTGTTGGGCTTCCTCCTTCAATGCTAAGCCCAAGCCCATTTGAGGGGTTTCCTAAAAACCCTAAACCTGATTTCCACCTCCTCTATATATACTCATTAGTTGAGGGTGGAGGCTAGGTCATATTTTTGAGAGAACAAATTTGAGAGAATTATTTGATTGTTTGAGTAAAGCTTTATGCTTTGCATTTGAGAGATCTCTAGAGAGAGTTTGAGTGAAACATCTCTAGGGTTTGATTATCACCATTGTTGGAGAGGTTGAGTTAACCACCACATTGGTGTATTTGATTCGTTGTAACCATTATTTTCATAGTGGATTTCTGATCTGGACTAGGTCCCGTGGGTTTTTACTTCTTCATTGGAGAATGTTTTCCCACGTTAAAACTGGTTGTGTTCTTCTTCTCTTTCTCCTATTTTGATTTTTTTTTGTTTTTGATTGTTCCGCTGCGCTGCCTGACCTGGTGAAGTTCAGGCTGAGGTATTGCCGAGATCCGAGATCAGGATCTTGTTGATTGACTTCCGCACAAAGGCCCCTAAGCCGAGCTTGAGGGAACCGAGTTTTCCCAACATATTTATCCCAATTCCGAAATTTTTCATGCAGTTCCGTCCATGCTTTTGGATTGGTAGTAGATTTTAGGAGTTGAATTGTATCCATAGCAAATTTGATTGTCCTGCTGGGCTTGTCCTTTTGACGATGACTTCAATTTGCCATAATTTTTTGCCACCATAGTGATTTTGCTGATTACATAACTTATTGGCCATTTAATTCATGAAGTTTGAACATCAATCAATACATACTGTCTACTTAAATGCAGTTTTCCAAATTTATTTATTTATTTATTTTAATCACACTGTCATCAAACCTTGTTCATGAATGAGATATAATTGCCCAAATATCAACATTCATTTTTCTTCAACTAACTAATTTTTGTAATTTCCTCAAGCATACGGTAAACTGTACTCATAAAAAGTTAAGTATAGCTAATAGCTATTATATACCTTCTCATTTTCGTCCTCATACCTCGTATCATCTATTTATCTATGGTTACTTGAATACCTAAATTACCAATAATGTTTGTTTGAACAGGGCCCATACTACTGTGGGGTTGGTGCTGATAAAGCCTATGGCCGTGATATTGTAGATGCACACTACAAAGCTTGTCTCTATGCTGGCATTAACATTAGTGGCATCAATGGAGAAGTTATGCCTGGCCAGGTCAACAAACTTAAATTGATTTAATCTTGTTATTATCTTAAACACTGCATTGAAATTTGATATTTCTGAATTCTGTTCTATAGTGGGAATTCCAAGTTGGCCCTTCTGTTGGCATTTCTGCTGGAGATGAGCTATGGGCTGCTAGGTACATACTCAAGGTAATTTATTTGAAATCTCATTTTTCTTTTTTTATCAAATCAATTAATAAAATATATAAAAATATAAATGTTGAAGAGCTTTTTATTGCTAACAGAGGATTACGGAGATAGCTGGAGTAGTGGTGTCATTTGATCCCAAGCCTATAGAGGTCAGAAATGTCATTGAAAATTTCAAAACACTTGCAAACCTTATAATTGTTCAAGAATAATTCATCATGTTGTTCAATTTTGTACAAAATAATATTTGGTTTGAAATTTTCACTTCATTGGTACATTGTTGTTATTAGGGAGACTGGAATGGAGCTGGTGCTCACACAAACTACAGGTAATATAGCCTATGCTTGTATTCCCTTCTCTGTTTTATTCCTATGAATCTTCACTTTCCTGAAGCTTGCAAACTGCAATGGTGGTTTCAGCACCAAGTCCATGAGAAGCGAGGGAGGTTATGTGGTCATCAAAAAGGCCATTGAAAAGCTTGGATTGAAACACAAAGAGCACATTGCTGCTTATGGAGAAGGCAATGAGAGACGTCTCACGGGAAAGCATGAAACAGCAGACATCAACACCTTCTCTTGGGTAAGTGGGAAATCAGCTGGCTAACTAGAAAAATCACTGGTTATCTGTTGGTTGGAAAACAGTTTAAAAAAGTTGAAAAAAGGGATAATATTATTTGATAAATTGTATATTACATCTGTATAATTGCTCTCTCTATTTGAAGAGACTAAATAAACGAATGGGCTAAGCCTAAAAAAGATTATAGAATGGAAATAAATAAATAAACAAATATAATTATTTACAACAAAACCATCGGAAAAAAATTACCATTTTTAAATTTGGTAATTAAATGCACTATAAAACATGTCACAAAAACAATTGTTTTCAATACACAAATAGAATCTTGGTATCGTTGAGGCTCTTATTGTTTCAGATTATGCATTTCTGAACTTGAAAATTAATATTATGTTTGTTGTGTAGGGTGTGGCACTCCGCGGAAGCTCTATTAGAGTTGGGAGAGAGACAGAAAAAGATGGCAAAGGTTACTTTGAGGACAGGAGGCCTGCTTCTAATATGGATCCGTATGTGGTCACTTCCATGATCGCAGAGACCACCATCCTCTGGAAACCATGATAGAACATCCGATTGTGTGTTCATCCCATGTTGTCTAAATTCATATCTACAAGAGTGTTGTCTCATTAATAATTGCTCAAGGGGTCTTTTGAGTAAAAACATTTACTCCATGTATCAGTGTGTCTGGATGAAAATAATATAATAATGGATAACAGTGATGGGTCACTTGTTTTTTCTATTGAGATTGACTGATCCATGGTGGAATGGTTCACTATCTTAATTCTTTAACATGTGCTGCTTACATTTGAAAGAAAAATGTGTCACTGGAATGTCCTTATCAAGACCCTAGATTATAATATTTAATAGCGTTAAAGTGATAAACCACTATCATGTACTGTATCTATATTTGTACAGGGGCATGGTATGAGACTATGAGACAAGGAAAATCGGTGTGTGTGTCAACAAAACGCAGCCGAATGGTTGGCCATGGTCGGTGCCACACTGCCACAGCAAATGCAATAGTGCCATGGGATTCAGATGATATGTCTCTGTAGGACTAAATATTTTTAGTGGCTAAAATTAGATGCCGTATCTTATGGGGCTTTCAATTTGCTACGGCAGATTATGAAATTTGAGTCACAAACGCAATTATCTCCACCTCTCGCATGGATTTCTTTCTACATATAGGTGTTTATATTGTCTCTCTCATGTCCTGCAACTACACTTAGAATGCAATTCTGCCTTCTCACGAAATACCCCAGCACCTTTTACTGTATAAAAAAGTATTTTTTTATTTATATATAAAGTACTTATTACTAACGCGTTATATTTTTACAAAGTTATAATATTTCACAGGTTTATCTTATCCGTGTCATTTATATTTAAAATTATTTAATCTATCAAGCAAGTCCTTAGTATTGAGAACAAAAGTATCGATACAAGATTCATAATCTTGTCAATTATAAATACGATAATGCTACAAATTATGGTTGGTATAACTCGTTGATTTTGGTCTTGTATATAAGGTGTCTTTCTCTAACCTAAACTTCTAGTTATTAAAAAATATATACTAATGCTAAAATCAAAAGATTGAGTAATAGAAATTCATTTCTCATGTGGTAGCTCAGTTGGTAGCATGGGAACTGAGTGGTGGGAGAGGACCTCGGTTCGAATTCCACTAATACCATCTGGGGAGGGGCATAAGTACCGTAATCCTTGGACTCGTACCCGAACTCTGGATTAGTCCCAAAGGCGACTCAAAGAGTCGAACCCGTGGGCATACATGGGAGTTCTGATTCGTTTCAAAGAGGTAATTAGGATCAGTTACAAAAAAGAAAAAAAAATCATTTCTCATAAGTTATAAATTAGGGGAAGGTTATACTTACAACCTATCTTTTTTACAACATCTCACAACCATATATCTTAACCATATATCTTATAAATAAAGAAGATAGGTTATATGTATAACCTTCTCCTATAAATTATGTTAATTTCTATTACTTTTGTTTTGCTTGAAAACAAGCCCCATTGTTTCGATGAGGTTTTTTTTTTCCCCGAAACTTTGCTTTTTTTTATTTGGTTGCAATTTTTGAAAAAAAAAGAAAAAGTCAAAATTTTGTATTTATTTTTGGAAGTTAAGAATTGACTTTTCAATATATATATATATATATATATATATATATATATATTCCATTTAGGAAGTTGATTTTATCCAAATCCACTTTCCACATTTTTTTTACTTTAATTTTTTTTTTAATTTTTCTAAATACATGTTTAAATATTTTCTTCTTCTTTTTAAACCATAAATTATAAACACTAGAGTAAAAGTATTTTTTTAAGATTTGTATCATAATTCAAAAATGTAAAAATTTTCTAATGAACGCCGACAATTTACTCATAATCGGAATGAAATGGATATTACTGCGAAATGTGATCTAAATGAGTAAATTATGAATAAACAAAGTCGTACCCGCCTAAATGGTTCTTGTAGTGGTGGGACTTTTGGAAAGAGGTCGCAGCATGAGTAATGTCACTTCAATTCTTTACTATACCTTAATAGAACAGCGTAAATTAAATATTTTTAGTACTATTTAATGTTCGATAATAAGTTACATATTAAATAAATGTTTTAAGTTCAGTATATATAAATTAGAGTTAATAGAAAAATTATTTGAATATGTATTTGAAAATTATAATTTTAATTTAAACCTAAAATAAATAAAAAAGTATGTTGGGAAGTGAGTGTTTAGGAGAAGATGAGGAATATTCTCACTGTCAAAATTTTTCACTACCAACTTATTACCTATCTAATCACCATTATATTAACATTTTTTCTCTCTTTAAAAACTTTTTAACATTCCCTCTCTTTGATCCAATGGTGATATGATGGGTAGTAAGTTAGCAGTGAAATTTTTTTATAGTTAGAATATCTTCACTCTTAGGAGAAAATCGACTTCCCAACTTTCCTAAAAAATCGTTTAAAAGTTGGTTATAAAAATATAATTTCCCAACATTAATTTAAAAGAAGAAGAAAAATTAGAAAGATAAGTTAAGATTTAAGATCAAAATTTTGATTTAAGATAAAAAAAAAAATGGGGAATTAAAGAGTAAAAAAGTAGTTTAGTTTTTTATTTTTTTAAAGGAAAAATTATTTCTTCTGCCAAGATAAAGTTAATTTCAGCAATTTTAAAATTATGTTATTTTGAGAATTTAGAAAATTAAGTATAGATATTTTAGAAATCTTACTTGTTTCTTTATTATATAAATTTCATCAAAACCTTATTTTTTAATCTCCTAACTTTTAAAATTATAATTTTATCTTTTTTTGGATACAGTAATAATTTTATCTCGTATAACAATTATAAACGCTTTTATAAAAAGGCCATCTTGAATATTGAATACGATGACACTTCCGTCATTATTTATTTCAAATTTATTTCAAACGCTACAATATATGTATGTAATTTGTACAAAAATATAGAATTTTAAAATTATAACAAACGTTAGGAATCATCAACTTTAGCTAAAATTGTTCACAATTGATAGAGTGTAGGCTGTATGCTTAGTTTTTTTATTTTTTAATATTTCAATCGGTTCATTGCTTCACGATTAATATTATTCGGGGTGGATCCTAGAGTCAAGGTTTGAAATTTTTCTAAAAAATAATATTGAAGATGATCAAATAAATATTCTCACATTTACCTGTTTAATTTTTTAATGTCAATTGAACTATCATTATTTAGTATATATGATTAGGTTTTAGGCGCCGTAAATATGGTGCTTACCCGGATTTAAGTTCAATGTGTCCCTTCTTCAAAACCGTACGTATAACACATTTTGGAACATCCCCTATGTTACTATGTATTCGTAAAAGAAAGAATATTTGTACTTTATTTTATAATCAAAATATTTATTCTTTTAAAAGATATAAAGTTATATTATTTAAAGTGAAAAAATACAAACTACTATTTTTTATTTAAAATTTAAATTAAAAAAGGAAAATATTTATCTTTTTAAAAGATATAACTTTGTGTCATTTTAGATTAAATGACATCATTTTGATGCATAATTAGTAATTTTTTAAACAATGTCGTTTCATCTAAAATGACATGAAGTGATATTCTTTAAAAGGACAAATATTTTTTCCTTAAAAAAAATACCCATATTCTTCCCCCATGATTTCCATTATTTATATATTTTCTTTACTTAAAATGATATAACTCATTCTTTTAAAAAGACAAATATTAAACACATCTATATAACTAAGAATGAGTGTTGATGGGAAATACTTTTAGGGGTTTATTAGTCTCCTTCAATAGGAATAATCTTCTCTCCAGCGTCACTCACATACTAGCAATGGGACTCATAAAAAAAAAAGAAAAAAAATTAAATGAACCCCGCATTATTTTTAACTCAGCAGGAAAATAAACTTGTCTTCTTCAACAGGAGAATAGTAAAACCCTAAAAAGATATGCATCTAATGGGAAGAAAACTCTCTTTTTGGAAAAAAAGATAAACCCAATTAGATACATCCGATATATAGAATAATTTTTTCGGAAGAACCGCAAAAACTATTGGGTAAAAATTTTATTAAACAAAAAGCAACTCAAAATATTCGGAAAACATCATAAGTCATAACTGATAAATGCCTCTTTATGTGCAATAAAAATCAATTCGGTGACTAGAGGTATAAATGGGTTAGGCCGAGCTGGATTTTGGCTTAAATTTGTGTAAAATATTTCAGGTATGATAGCCTTGTGTAAGCTTAAATTATAAGTCTGGTCTGACCTATATTTAAAAAAATAAATGTCTTGGTCTAGACTTATTATCTTGTGTAAATCTATTAGTCATTAAATAATTAAAATAATATTACTTTATTATTTAAAAATATTAAAATAATAATTTTATTTATTTTATTTAAAATAAATAATGCATAGATCACCTTGTAAGTTTATAAACCTGACATTTAAAAAAAAAAAGCGTATGACCTATTTTGTAAATAGACTTTTTTAAAAGTCTAAGACTGTTTTATTTGATTATATTTAGTAGCTCAAAGCAAGATGTAAACTGGATCATAGGTAGGGGTGTAAATGGGCCCGGTTAGCCCGGCTCAGCCTACAGCCCGGCCTACATTAAGCTCGACCTAGCCCGGTCTTTCAGAAAAGTAGAGTAGGCTTAGGCTTATTAAAAAAAAAATTAACAAATAAGCCATAGGCCAATTTTGTCAAGCCCGCCTACAGCCTTGTAGGCTGGCCTATTTAATTTATTAAAACAAAATAATATTTATTTTATGTGGCAAAGTACCAATACTAACCCTAATTTTTATGTGCAAATTGGCAAGGTTCTTATTTTTTATGCAATTTTATTCCTTATTGCACACTCTTTCGTTTTTATGTATGAATGAATGGAACTTTCTTTGCTCTATACAATTATTTTTTTTGCTTAGTATCTACAGTGGGAAGCCTACAAGGTCTGTAGGTCATGTCAGACTTTCTTATTTTTTAAAATGGGCCGGGCTTGGCCTACAAATAAAGTTTTTAATAGATCAGTAGGATAAATAG